AAGGGACCTCAGCGAATGCTGACAGGTCACTGGCCAGCCACACATTTCAGTCATGAAATCACTCCTTCCCCCTCTCCCCCTCCCTCCCCTTACTTGATTCCCTGGGCGGTGGGGGGGAAGGAAAGTATAGGCAAGTCAAATATTTGACCCTTGTCGAATATTCGACCCGCGCTGTTAATATTCGACTTCCGGTATTTGATTCAACCAGCTGCTATTCCACTCAACTTTCACTTTTCAATGTTGAATATGTTGAATTGAATATAAAAGTCGAAGCTTTGCACAGCCCTGATAATAGAATGCCTCAGAGACAATGCCAGTTTCATTTACAATTGGATACACTGCTGTTCCTCCAAGTTGCTATTGCGCATCATTCCTTAGCAGCTGCAATGATTGCTTACATGGAAAGAGAAACATTTGTGTGGGTCTTTTAAAAAGGATAGGAAAAATAGCACCAGAAAGCCAGACAGCTCTCAACCAAATACAGGTTGAGAAATATTTAAAGAAGAGAAGAGAAGAGTTGTGGCAATTTTTTTGGATAGGCAATTGGAAGAACTGAGACTATTTCGTTTGGAGAATGCCAAGGGGATTTGATAACAGTCTTCAAATACACGAAGGGCACTTATAAAGAGGATTGTGATAGACTCAGTGGCCACAGGGAACAGGACAAGTAATAATAGTTTTAAATTGCAACAAGGGATATTAGGAAGAAATTTCTAACCACAAGTGTGGTTAAGTAGTTGAACGGATTGTCTAGAGAGGCTGTGGAATCTCCAGCCTTGGAAGCTTAAGAGCAGGTTAGACACTTGTCTGGGATAGTTTAGACAGGTATGACCCTGCCTTGAGTGCAGGGTATTGGCTTAGATGACCTTCCTGAGGTCTCTTCCAGCTGCACTTTTTCCTATGATTACAGTGTAAGAACATTTTACCAAAAATATGAGAGCAGAAAGTGAGAGATAATAAAGTAGCAACACTAAAAGGAAAAATATGGGAGATTTCTCTGTTCCAGTTCTGTATCCCCATTCCTTCAAGCTTTCATGGAATTTATTTTGTTGGGTCATTCAATAAAAGCCAACCTGCTTGCACAGTTGCACTTTTTCTAGTCAGCAGTGATAACAGTTTTGGGGTTTTAAGAAACAAACAAATGAGCCACATGGGTATATAACAATACAGGAATCTTATTTTACTAGTAACGTGGACAATTGTTGATAGCTTGTATCAAGGATAGTTAGTGAACAACATCTTTTTTTTTTTAAATTGTAGTTCATTCATTGGGTATCTTTTGCTCTATGCTGTATTTTCAAACGGTTTCTAGGACCATCATTTTGTTGCATTAGTATAACAGCTGGCACAAGAGGCCAGCAAGTGTTACTTTGGGACAGTAGTATTATTCTCTTATTCTTAACCACTACAACAACCACCAATAAAAAAAGTATTCCTATGTTATGTAAAAAATTGTCATTGACTGTTGTAAGTCTTGTACTAAGCAGGCATCTAAAAGAGGGTTTGACATTAAACATGTAGTTCATGCTATGAAATCCTCTGGGAAACCCTGCAGTCCAGTTTCAGCAGGTACCTGGAAAAACAGTTAGTGTTTGCAGCATAAGGAGAATGCTGCAATAAAGGCTTACTCTGACTTCCCTTTCAAGCATCTCACAAAGTAAACTGCTGCTAATAAAGCTTAGACCATATCAGAGACACACAGCATAAGGTGTAAATCTACCTTGCTGTCCCTCTGATCTTGGACTAACATAGCAAACTACCTCTCTCCTCCAAGGCCACTATTTCAGAGAGCTCTCTCCCTTATCATCCTCAACTGTGCTGATCTCATCAATGATCATGTATAGTTGTTTTAATTATATCTTGTTCCCTCAATCTTAAGAACAAGTAGTCACTTGCATCTTATTTGGGTGATTTAAGCCAGTGTTTAGGTTAGGCTGCAATAAATAGTTTAAAAACTGGCTTGTGTTTAAATGGCAAATTGCAGAAAGCTGTGAGCTACAAGTATCTGTGATAAGTACTGAAATTATAGATACTTGGGTTGTTTCTCCAAGTTTAACCCTTCAAGCCAGTTTTCCTGAAGAATGTTTTGATAGCTATAATCTAGTTCAACATAGATTTGTTTTTCAAAGACAAATAGCCCCTGGGCTATGATTTGATGCAGACTAGCTCTGAGCCATTTCTGACAGATGTGGATTCTGCAACTGAAGAGCCACATGCATAGAAAGCACCTAACAAAACAGCGAAATGAAGAGGAGACCAATCAATAACTGTTTAAGAGATTTACTGTAAAATTATAATACAATCTTACATACAGTAAAAGGCTTAAAATGTCCTAAAAAAAAAAAAAAATCTCACACAGTTCAAGGACAGCAGAGTACTGCATTGTCTAAGTGGAAAGTAATGTAGTCCTCAAGTAGACAGATTTGCATAGACTTCTGACATGGTATGCATATTGAAAACATGGCATTATGAACATGTTAATGTACAAATAAAACTTGGTACCAAAAAAGATTCATTTTGCATTAGAATGTTGCATAGACTGTCAAGTGGACCTCACCCTTTAAATGTTGTAAATAGACTGCAAGGTGATGTTGTTAAGAAGTAGTATTATTATACCAAAAATCACAAGGAGCTTAAAGAAAAAAAAAAAAAAAGATGCCCAGTCTCTGCCTAGAGGAGCTGTGGTTATATATTAAAGACATACTACATATCATGATATCATAGTTCATGCTCAGGCATTAAAATGAGAGCAGACAAGGGGAGAGAAAGGTATAATGCATTTACTTAAAACCAGGCTGCATTTTAGTTGCTCTTCATGACTTCACGTCACCTACACAATCTACAAGTTATCCAAGCACTTCCTGGCATGGAAAAAAAACATTCTTCCCTACATATTCTAGATAACATTTGATTCTATTGCTGACCACAGCAATAGAAGTTAATACAAGTTTGGGGGTTTTTTTGTCAGCTCATTGTATCATCAAGTTTATTTATTGTGTTTAGGTGCTGCAGTGGTTTCAGCACTCTGGTCACCTTTAGTTATCTCCATGTGTAGATTAGGACTGCTAAAGTTATTTACTCAGTCATTATGCTCAGGTGATCAACTAAAACCCGAGTTGGTTCAGTGTCTTCTATATATTAAAAAAAGATGCAGGATGTATTAGAAATCACTTTTAGTTTCCTGAGGGTCCAGCTAAGACTCAGCATCAATAGGGCTACAAAATATTGGATATCTGGTAGACGAGAAAGCTTTCTAGTAAAATTGCTGAAGAATTTTTTGGACTAGTTACATTAATGCAATAAGTTCATTAGATTATACTGACAGCAATCATTAAAACTGATACACCGCTGAGACACAGTAAAAGAACTCTGGTGTTATAGTGACATAATTAAATTAAAATTTCTGTCCACAGCAAAAGTGTTTACTGGCTTCCTCTCTGTCTAGCCAAGGTGAGTTGGAATTACAAAGTCATCACACAGCCATCCTAGCACAGTGCTGGATGTTAGAAACACTGATTGCATTTACAACTGAGCCAAGAAGATCACATGAATTTTTTTTTTTAAAAAAAAAAAGAAAAACAAAGTAGTTAAAAGGGCAAATTCAGTCTCATTATAAATCCTGACTTAAAATCAGACTGGTAATTTCACTTAACATTAAGCTTAACAAGGACCCAGCAGTCTTACCTCGTTTATGAAAACTGGAAGATAGGGAAAAGAAAAAAGCTGATTGGGAGTGGAATATTTTCCCCAATAGTCATTTGTCCCCTGGACATCTCCTTCTGTACTACACATAAGTTACTTTAAAATAGCTTGTGCTATTCATGTTTTGAAACTATTCCATTCCTAAACTTTCTGCATTTAGAGAGAAGATTTCTTCAAGTTATTAGTTCACAATCTCCTTTTTGCCAGCAACTCAGTTTCCAAATGTTCAGTGCAGCTTTTGTATAGTGGTTTTATACTTCAAGTTTAAGCTCAAGTGTGTCTGATACAAATTCCAGAAGACACATTTAGCAGGTAAGTATTTACATATGAACAAGCTTCAAACATGTTCCACAACCTACAGCCAGTGGTTTTGTTTATAGAGCCACTAAACTTTGTAGCTGTATTGAAGAGAGAACTACCCACCACCACTCTAACATACTGCTTCATGTTGGGTTTATAAAAGCAACCCTCTTCCCTCCCCAAAACACAAGTCATTGGGACCAACAACACAAGCATATCTACTTGGCTTTGAAAATCCCTGCCTGCTTATTCAATACAGCTCTCCTGCTGTTACAGATGTGGACTACACATCTCATTATGGCCGTTATAGCCAAGTGCCATTCTATTTGTCCCTTAAAAATATTCTAGCAATTTCTGTGGTTACCTTATGGACAAGTCACTGATCTTTCCAGAAAGAGCAAATACAAAGGAATAGCCTTTGTATCCCAAAAGATATTAGAATTAAAATTACATTAAACTCATCACCAAGACCTTTCCTATATTGCAAAAACACAAACTTGTTCCCCACCTCAATGCCAACTGAACTGCATCTTAAGGTTTCCATCCTGCTGCAACCCTACCACACTTAAATGAGGCCTTCTTTCTCTTCGTCATGAACACAGTTATACAGTACAGGCATATGCACCACAGTACAGAGTTTCATAATAAAGGTGAAGTTCTGGTGTCTATTTAAATGGAAAGCAATAGCATTACTGTCATTTGTCAGTATTTAGACTCAAGGACTGAACAGGTTCAAGAACTGCATACCTCCTGTTACAACAGTCATTGATTCACATAGCATTGTAAATTTCTGCTTGCATGCTTCTTTCTGTAAGGACTACAGGCAAAGATGCACATGGCTTTCCTTATGTATAGCTTATACTGGAGTGCACTACAGATCACAGTCCTCCTGTGCAGCGTGAGCTTCCCTCCTCTTCTGTTTAGGATCTGTCGGAAGGCCTGTCTGTATGAAGGCACTTTAGACTAACGCTTTCAAGCACTAGTCTTAATTGGAAAGCCAGCTTGATCCCTTTTTAGTACCTTGGACATGAACTTCATTCAAATAGCTATGCTTTGCTTTGCTAGGTTTTTTGGTTCTTTGCTGGGGACACACCAGTCATCTGCCTCTGAAGTTGCTTGATAATGCTTATAGGCGGACTTGTTGAATACTGGGAG